ACTGCTGCTGGCCCCCCGGCTCTCCGCCCGTTATTGCTTCGTTAGTCGTGGGGGGGGGAGAGGGGGAAAGGTGAGGGGCGCGGGGCTTCACTGCCGGCTGTTTTCCTGCTCCACCTTGATGGTGCCGCGCGGGGGGTCTGGGGGGGCCGGGTGGCCGCGCTCCGCCAATCCGTCCTCGAACTCTGCGGGGAGAGAGGGGTCAGAGCCCCAGTGAGTGCCGGGGGGAGGCAGTGCCAGCAGCCCCCGCGGGCTCCATGAGGGGCTCACAAGGGACGGGGGAGGGGGGAACAGGATGGGGCACACCCGGAGATCCCCTATGGCTGGGGCTCACCCGGAGAGGGGCTCACTCGGGGGGCTTCCCTGGGGCTGGGATGGGGGGGAGGGCTCACCTGGGGGTTTCCCAGGCAGGCAGGGGCTGAGCCGCCCCACGCGTTCGTGGGAGACCAATCGAGCCAAGCGCAGCCCCTCATCCATGAGCGTCTGCTGCAGAACGTGCCGGCTCCAAAGCCCGTGCGGGGGGAGCGAGAGGGGCGCATCGGGGGCAGCGCCGGGCGGAGGGGTCAGCCGGGGACAGAGCCCCGCCGCTGCGAAGAGAGGGAAAGGGTCACCCGGGGGGCTCGGGGAGGGAGGGCCGCCATCTGCCCCGCACTGCCCCCCACTCACCCTGCGCGTGGCCGTCCACGCTCTCTCCGGCCGCTCCCCCCGCATCCTCCTCGTTGCCGACTCGGTATGGGGGTGCGTGGAGGTCCGATCCCAGCGGGGGGGGCTCGCTGCGGCTCTGCTCCCCCACCTGCACGGAGCACAGGGGTGAGCGCCGGGCCCTCCATCCCCCCCGCACGCAGCCCCGAGCGCACCGAGCCGTCACACCTACGTGTGGGCGACCGCTGCCCACGCTCACAGCTGTGCGTGCACGCACGTGCGTGGGCCCCCCCGGAGCACGCATCTCCCCTCCCCCTCTGCATACAGCCCCGCACCCACCTCCTGTTTGAGCCGCTTGGGCGCGCTGGCCCCGCCGTCCTCGGGCTGCGCCCTGTGCGGGTGGAAGCACAAAGGGCTGCGTCAGTGCGGGGGCAGCACCGCACGGTTCCCCCCTACGCTGCGGGGCGGTGCTGTGGGGCGCAGCGGGTTCTGGCACAGATGGAATCAAAGCGGGGGGGGGGCAGAGGGAGCAGAGCAGCGCCGGCAGAGCTTTCGGGGGGGGGAGGGGGAAGGGAGCTCGGGACTGGGGAGGTCGGGATGGGAGAACTCAGGACGGGGGGCTCCCCCTCGACCTCAAACAGCATCCCCTATGCCGTACCTCCCTCCCTTCCCTCCCCGCAAACCCGCACTCTGAGGCACCAAACTGCCTCAGAAAGGGGAACTCGCGGCCCCCACCCCCGCCCGGAATTGCCGGTGATGGAGGTGGTGCGGCTCCCATGGGGGGAACCCCATGTGTGGGCTGCGGGGGAGAGGGGAGAAGGAGGGGATGCTGGGGGACTCCGGCGCTCACCTGGACACCTTGAGCGAGGACAGGTAGGTGCTCTCCCTCGCGACCTGTCGCGACAGCGAGAAGAGCTCAACGCGCCGCAGCAGCAGCGAATTGTCCCGCAGGCAAAACTGCGCGGCCGCCTCGTTGATGATGAGCTGCGGGCACAGAGCCGTGAGCGGCACCGGCGAGGGGCACAGCGAGCCCCCAGCCCGGCACGTCCCCCCCCCATCCCCATCCCCTGGGGGGCACCCCCACCCCAACCCCCACCTCGTGCAGCGTCAGCTGTTTGCCCTCCCGGCGCCGCGCATCACCGCGGCCGTAGATCGCGCTGTGCCGCCGGATCTCCTCTTCCTTCTGCCGGTCGCCGTCTTCCAGCTGGAAGATGTGCCCGACGGCTTTCGCCAACTTCTTATTGAGCTTCAGCAGAGCCCGCAGCTCCGCGTCCCCCCCGCGGGGGCAGCTCTGGAGCAGCCGCTCGACGCTCTCCGCCACCGTCCGCACCAACTCCGGCTCCAACACGTCGCCGCTCGACGGCTGCTCGGCGCCCCCGGGGGAGAAGGGGGGAGCACCCGGCTCCTCATCCCCACCGCCCTCCGATTCGGGGGTGCTCCTACCCGGCCACGGAGGCGCCCCCGACGGCGACAGCTTCTCTGGGGGTTCCGTGGGGCTGCGAGCGGGGGGCGTCCCCGCGCTTCCCCCCCCTTTCCCCGCAGCCTCGCCGGGGCTGGCGTGCCCGTTGCTGAGCGATTTGCGCCCGCTCCCGTCGGACAGCTTGAAGAGAGGGATGCTGCTGACGGGCACGGCCGGCACCGGCTGGCTGAAGAGCCCCGGGTTGGACGCCCACTCTCGCAGTGCCTTCTGCAGGCGGCGGACGTGCAGCGGTTTGGTGGCCATGCCCACCAGCGCCATGATCTCCAGGAACTCCTCCTCGCCCGCCTCGCACAGCTGCTGCACGTCGTCCCCTCCTTGCTGGATGAAGGTCTCGTAGTAGCCCAGCAGGTTGGCACGCTGCAGCACCCGGTACAGCTGCAGCTCCCCCAGCGTGCGAGGCACAGCCATGGCGCGCCTGTGGGCCAGACAGACGGCGTGACGGACGGACACCCCCACAACCCCCGGATCTGAGCTGCACCCCCCC